GGGCGGGGGGGGGGGGTTCCTAAAAATCTTCATTGACTTAATTGCCAATTTTTTTAAAAAAAATCTTAAATCAACAACTTTTAACAAATTTTTAAAAATATCAACAATTTTTAACTGTTCAAAATTGAGGTCACATGGATCACAAATCTTAAGCGGACAGCTTAATCTGTGTGGAAATGTACGTATATGTGGATATAAAGTCTACGTACCTATGTACTTATTCATATATACACACCTCACAAGTCTTGGACATCCAGCTTGAGGAATTTTTGCAAATATATACACCACGTAAGCACCATCCAGGTCAGACAGAGTATGTGTTTTGTTCCCCAGAAGGCTCCCTGATAGCCCTGTCCAGTCAATACCCTCTCCCCAACGGCAAGTTCTGGTTTGCCTTGGATCACATAGACTCATTTTGCCTATTTTTTTAATATTTACTTATTTTTGAGAGAGAGAGAGACAGAGACAGAGGATGAGCAGGGGAGGGGCAGAGAGAGAGGGAGACACAGAATCCGAAGCAGGCTCCGGGCTCTGAGCTGTCAGCACAGAGCCCGATGTGGGGCTCGAACTCCCGGACCATGAGATCATGACCTGAGCCAAAATCGGATGCTTACTCGACTAAGCCACTCAGGTGCCCCTGCCTGTTCTTGAACTTCATACCCATGGATCATACGACACACAGGCCTCTTGTGTCCGGCCCCTGTCACTCGTTACCGCATCTGAGAGTTACCCACAGTGCTGCACGCGGTGGTAACAGTGCATCCCTTTGCTCCTTTTTGCTATGCAGCATTCTACTCTTTAAACAGTCGACAATTTAACCACCTTGAACCTTAACTCGGAAGGAGCAGCCCATGTGATGCTGACGCCCAGAGCCCTTCTTTTTCACTGTCCTCCTGGCCATGGTTGGGGATGCGTTGGCTAGCAGGACAAGGGACTCCTGAGACGTCCCGTGGAGCCCCACTGTGACTGGCTGGCAGCTTCCGGGCCATCAGAGGCACAGATGTCTATGCCGTCAGCCTCAGACGTACAACCAGGAGCCTCTTTGCTGCGCTTTCAGCTGGAAAAGTCACAAGCTCCAATCATTCCCCAGCGGGGACTTTTCCAGGGCCTCCACGCGATGACTCTGTGGGCGGTGGGGGCCGCCATGGGGGCAGCAGCGGTGCCTCTATTATTCGGCTGGGATTTTTCCACTGCCCCCTCACCGTGTGGCCGACTTTCTGTGGTATCCTTTATCTAATCAACCCAGGAGTCTGTACGTAATCTCGGTCTCTCGGGCCTCCTGTGACTTAGGTCCCCAAACCCGACGGGCAACAGGTGCACTTGTGAAATGGCTGCTGGTAATAGTGAAAATCCGGAAACCACCTAAATGCCCGTGGTCAAGTTCAATCACTAGGGGCTCAGCAAGATGCCACCAGTCAACCAAACGAGGTGAGGACACGTGAACGGACCGTATGAACATCTAAGATACATCAGCAAGTGGGGACCACGTAAAGCAGAAGGCAGAACGCGCTGTGTCTACCCAAGGGGTAGGGTGAGGCTCTGCAGAAGTTTTGCTTTCTATATTCTCACGGCGTTTGATTTTTGTTGTTGCTGTTTTATAATCCGGATATTTTCTTTCTATAATTGGAAAATAAAAATAAAAGCAAAACTCACACGTCCTCCTCACCCCCACAAATCAAAGTTCTGTCAAAGGTGGTGCTGTTGGCCGCTTTTGCAGGGCTTACAAAAAGGACTCTGGTGAATTCCCTGTAAAGATAGTGCCATCTGTCTGCGTACCTCACAGCACGGTATCCTTCTAGGTCCCAATTCAGAAAGCCGTGTGATCCAGGAACTCCAGCGTTTCCTATTGCCCCAACCCCCACCTTCGATCCAGGAGCCCCAGGGCGAGCTGGGCTTAGGAAGGGTAACCAGAAAACAGACATTTGGCGGGGGGGGGGGGGGGGGGGGGGGGGGGGGGGGGGGGGGGGGGGGACGCTGGATTTAATGATAAAACCAGCCTGAGTGGACACTTCCACCTGCCAGACCTCACACCACGTTCCGCACACCCGCGGTCACGCTTAGTCCTCAAACCACCCCATTCCCCAGATACGAGTGTCATCTCTGCTCCACAGAAGCAGAAGGTGCAGCCTGGAGAGGACAGTTCGCCCCCAGAGCACGTGCAGGGCGAATCCGGCAGAGCTGGGCCCGGGGGCTGGGGGGCTGGAGTCCGGGGCCTGCACCACCGAGCTGGGTCTTCCCCTCTGTCAGTTTTCAGAAACCACTCACAATCCGCATCCAGGGTAACAAAAGCTGTTAACACGGGAAACCACTTAGGGAGAGTGAGTCAACTCACATCTGTCAACTCCCATTCATTCACCGGGAAGTGTGAGCGCAGGCTCCTGGGACGGCAGCACCACCTAGTGGCCACCCTGAGAGCCTCCGCTCAGCAGCCGGTTCCGGCCTCTCCCCGCTCCCTCCTGATAGGGATGCCACTGTCTTTATCCCCTTCCATCCACCAGAAACTTTTCCTAGACCCTTCTTGGGGACCTAGAGCCTGCTTCTGACACAGACATCCGGTCACTTGTCTTCTCTTCCCTACTCCTGGTGGGCAGGGCCCAGGGATTGCCGATCGCAAAGCGAGCCAGTCAAGCCCGGAGGAGGAGGACCTAAACCAACGTTTCCCACCCTGGGCTCTGCTGACACTCTGCGCTGATAGCCCTTTACCGTGGGGTGCGGTCCTGCGCATCCCAGGACTCCACCCGCCAGAGGCTAACGGCACCCCCAGCCCCTCACCCAACACGACACCGACAAATGTCCTCCTGGGGCACAGTCACCCCGGGGTGCGGGCACTGAACTAACACAGCTGGACTCAAACCCCTTCCAGATCCGGGCACCGCTAGAGCGGTCACCACAGGCTCGTGACACAAACTCTCCCGGCACAAAGTGAGGGTGCCCACAGCACCTGTCTCCCAGAGCGGCTGTGTCAGAGGAGGAGCCTGGGCTTAGTGAGGCCAGAGAAGGAGCTTGGGTCTCACTCTCACTTGCTCCTGGGTTGTTCTTCCTCACCCTGCTACCTCCAGGGCCTATTCTGTTGGCTGTTTTTTTTTTTTAACAGCAAGTGAGTTTTTACTGAAAGTTTAAGAATGCCGTAGTTTCTGTGGCAACTTACAAATTCGTAATATAATAATTGATACCTCAAACCAAGAAAACAATATAACCAAAACTTCATTTCCACTTAGCCATACTTCAGTTCTGTCTGTTAAAAATGTTCTTTTGGAGAATCCAGTGTGAACATCTTCTACTTTTCTTGAGTCATTTTCTCCAGGGACGGAATCACTCTTTAATGGACAGCACTCAGGAAGCTATTTGACGATACCCAGATCGTACTGGTATCTTGAACACAGGTCTCCAAGGGGGCCCAGCTCCAATTTGCGAAGTAGGCCCAGTTCGGAATGGTTAACGAGGTGGTACCCAACGACGGCACTAATTGTTACCAAAAATTAGCAACTTGAGGTATCTTTGTTTTGGATTTCTGTGGTTCAGGCACATCCAAACTTTCTTCATAGTCTGCACTCGATCCCTTCGCCCAGCGGCCGGCTGTGACCATTCCGTCTGAATTCTCTCAGGGCAATCTCGCTTAAAATGTTCCACAGAACAACAGTCTACAGCAACCACCATCAGCACAGAGTCCCCTGGGATTCTCAGGACAAGATATGGGCAGATGCCCCATTTCTCCACCAACAAAACATTCTGCGGGAGGAAATTCACCAAGAGCCGGGTCCACTTTGGCTCCGCCCTAGGTGAGTTCATGCTCTGTGGACCCACACTCCAGTGCCCGTATCTTGATTCTCGAGGATGGCTGGGCGATCTGCAATCCCGTGGCCAGGTTTTCTACAGTGGAAACCTACCACTGCATTTTTCTTTGCGGCTGGTCTTTTTAGTTTCCTTCCCTTTTAAAAGCAACTGCAATTTCTTCCCTTACCTCCTGAATGTTGCTATCATCTCCCCATTATGAACCACCTGTGAGTTTTGTCTTGGGTATTCCAGAAATCCATTTACACCTTCATTTAACTACTCCTTTTTCTTTTCTTTTTGGGTTTTGCTTGAGGCGCATCATTTTTAACAGAGAGCCTACTGGCTTCAAGTTGTTTACCCTTTGGTAGGTTTTGGGCTTCGCCCTCAAACGACTCCTTCCTTCATGTCCTCCCATGATGTTGCAGCCAAAGGTCTCTTACTACATGCGGTAGTAACTCGTGCCCACCTGGTCACGGTATCATCAAAGGTACCTCATCAAACACGCAGGAATCCTCCAGGGCAGCTGACTTTGTGAGCCAGAGAAGCCCCTCCCTGCTGGCTGGTTATTCAGCAACCCCAACAAGTTATAAAGAAAAAAATATGAACAGCCCAGAACCATTCAGCAGAGAGGAGCCCTCACAGCCCTTCCCAGTACCCCACTACACAGGGATAAACATGGTTAGGGACTGAACTGCACGGCCCCTAAATTATCATAGTCAAGCCCCGGCCCCCAGTGTGACTGTATTTGGAAACAGAAGCTTTAAGGAGGTAATTAAGGTTACACAAGGTCCTACGGCGGGACCCTGGTCAAAGGTGGGTGTCCTTAAAAGAGGAAAAGATACCAGACTCACTACACACACGCGTGCACACCCACACACACACAGAAAGGCCACGTGAGGACACAACGAGAAGACAGTCATCTGCAAACCAGGAAGAAAGGCCTCCCCAGAAACTAACCCTGATGGCACCTTGATCTTGGACTTCTAACGTCCCGAGCTAGGAGAAAATAAATTTCTGTTGTCTAAGTCACCAGGTCTGGGGCATTCTGTGACAGCAGCCCAAGCGCCCTAACACACACAGTAAGCTCAGACGTTCAAAAAGCCACACGAAAACCACGCCAAACTCCAGGCTGCCAAAGCTCAGCAGTGAGGGGGCAGGTACCAGGGGCTATCCTTACAGAGTGAGGTCTCGTGACTGATATTCTCAAAGAGGATGTTCAAGGTCTGCAGCAGCTGAACGCACACGTAGCGGCCTGATTTCTGCCGCAGGATGTTCAAGAAGAAAACAAACATGTTCTTCTCCAAGAAGAAGCTGGGGAGAGAAGGGGAAAGCATCAGAGGTTTGCTGCTACTCGTGCAGATACACGTCATCCCCTGGCTATGTGCACCGCATGTGTGTGGGGGCCGCCCCCGGCCCCCAAAGGCATCCAGAGAGCAGCCAGGTCACACGGGCTGCGTGGCCCCGGCTCCTCCCCTCCCTCGATGCCTCCTTCCGCCACCACAAAATGCAGCCACTCACGCTCTCTCCCCAGAATCTGAGCACACGGCCGATCCTAGGAAGCCGTGACCTCGATTCCTACAGAAAGGGCGAGATCTTTACCGCCAAAGTGATTACACATTATTCTACCTATGCTTGGAAACCCGACAGGCAGCATTCTCCATCCAATACTCTGTATCCTCAGCTTTCCGTACTAGGCCTCTTTCCTTGGCTTTCGTATCTTTGAGTGTTAGTAACAACCAGCATTCCCTCCAATGGGGCAAAATAATGCTACTAAAAGAATATGGGTTTCCAAATCCAGGGAAAAAGACTGGAGGCAATTGAAGGGGCCGATGTGGCAGGGAGACCCTCGTCAGTGCCTAAGTCAGCTTCTGCCTTTCTTATTCTGGACAGGACAGCTGTCTGCATGCAGCCCGGGAACACGCACTTTTGGGCTACATGTTGGCTAAACTTTTAGTCTTGAAATGGAGACAGAACCCCCTATGCCTTTCTTTAAAGGAAGAAAATGGGGTTTTCTAGCTACATGTTCTCTGTATGCAAGCTAGGACCAGGTAACCTCTCATTTGGGACACTCACAACAGGTCCCTGCAGTCACATGTATCTGTCACTTAGTTCTGAGGGTCTCTCTCCCCTCGGCTTTCAGCTCCACGGTGGCAGGACCATGGGCCTGGCACTTGCTCGGGGCTACATAACCTCTGTTTGAATTCCTGAAAGGGTAAATGAATAAGTAAACATTATTCAACTTATTCAACTCTGATTCTGGGAGCCTGTCTGCCTACAAATGTCAGTCACGCTGATCCCAAGAATATTTCTACCATTTGACCCATTTTGTCCACCTGTGCTTCAGGTTGAATAAATCAGTGACTCCCAAGGGTCGCCCGACAGGCTCAGTGCAGCACAATGACCAATTTGGGAACTTGTTAATAATCAAAGTATAAAACAAACATCATGAGCCCATATTGATATAAATAAATGAGTGGGGTGCCTGGGTGGCTCAGCTGAACATCCGACTCTTGCTTTTGGCTCAGGTCACAATCTCACTGTGAGGTCGAGCCCCGCACTGAGCTCTGTGCTGACAGTCCAGAGCTTGCTTGGGATTCCCTCTCATTCTCTCTCTCTCTCTCTCTCTCAAAATAAATATTTTTTAAAAAAAAGAGTCTGTTTCTTAAAAATAAATAACTCACTGAATACATAAATGGGGAAAAGAGACAAATCTATGCAGATTTTCAAATACTGTACATAGCTACTCACCCCTTTCCAGAAGGTTGGAGCTTAATTCCAAGCCCCCAGGTGGGCTACATTGGGTGACTCTTTCAAACATGGTGTAGGGAATGGGGACAAGAGTAACTTTATAGTGGAAGAACCTGGCTGACACCACTTTAACCAAACAATCAGAGTAACTTCACTAGAGCGCAGGTGGATGTGGGGGCTGCTGATACCGTGGGCTGAAAAGGACATATTGTTACAGTTGTTTCTACCCCAGGCTAATCATGAGTAAACATCGCAGAGACCCACATCGGGGTGGGGGGAATGGCCAGTACTTCTCAAACACATCAAGGTTTTCTCCTGAAAACAAGAGAAGACTGAAAATCAGTCACAGACCAGAGGTGGCTGGGAGATGCGACACTTTGCGGCACCGTGAGAGCCTGGACTGCGTTCCCAGAGCAGAAGGGGGATCTTAATGGAAGAACTGGCAAAATCCAAATCAAGTCAGGGGTCTACCGAACAGTCACGAACCAAGCTTAGCTTCTCGGTTTTGACCAATGCACCCCAGTCATATAAGACGTTAACAGTGGGCGAAACGGGGTGAGGGGTGCTGGGGAACTTTCTGTACTAGCTTTGCAACTTTTCCATAAATCTAAAGTTATTCTAAAAGAAATGAATTAAAAACAAATTCTCCTGGGCACTCCATGGGGGGGCCATTTAGGAAGCACGGGGCAGTTGTTCTGAGACAACAGATTGGCTCAGAAAGTCCACTCTAGTCAAGAGGGACACGGTCTCTAGCCTTTAACCCAAGGGTCTATCTCATCCCCAAAACAGACAGCAACCGACCGAGCAGTTCCCCGTGCGTCCTGAGATGCATCTAGTCCCCTCTGCAGGCACCGCCTCCCTCCCTACTCCTGTTTTCCTTTGGGGAAGAGGCCGGCGTCACGGGTTTGCATTTTCCACAAGTACGGATGAAGACAGAAAGCTATCTGGAAAATCAGATTAGCTAATAAGCCAGGCTGGAAATGGAACTCCTTTACTTGTTTCAAAGGGGCTTTTTAAGGGGCCTCAAAGCTTCCAGTTGAGATTATCTTATATAAAAATAAAACCTGTCTTTGGTGGTGGTTGTAACCCGAGTCCCTCTGCACTCAGACACCGAGACAGGTCTCCTGGGGAAGCTGTCCGTGGCCTCCAGCCTTTGCTTTTCATCCGTCCAAGAGGGACATCTTTCCAAATTACCACGTGCTAACAATTCTGGAGCGCCTCCTCTGTACCGGGCAGTAGGCAGGAACTCTCCTTTAAAGATGAGGAAAGTGAGGCTGGCCTAAAACTGCCCATCTAGGAAGTACGCCAACGAGGAGAAACCCCTTCGTGGACTCTGGGCGTGAGCAGCTTCGTGCCTGCCTACCAGCGGTGTGATAGGAGATTAATGGGGACGCGGACGCCGCCCCCGGGGCAGCTGGGAGACTCAGATTATCTCATCGGGAGCTCAGCACTGTGCCTGCCCAACAGTTAACACAATAAATATGAGCCCTTCGTGTCTCTCCAGGGCAGGGCCCTGTCAGTTCACTTCGAAGCTAACTTCCCAGGACGTTTTCTGCCCTTTGGGGAGGCTGTCAGATGCTACTTGGAAAATCATCCATGATATTTTCAGATTTTTCGAGAGACGCTCATGTCCCTTTCCCATTTTCAGCTTACATTTCTCCAGTGTCTCAAGGACATTTTGTATGGATAGAGATATAGATAGCTATCTGCGCAAGACCAGGCTGGTATCAGATCCTGATGTCATCAAGAATGACTCATGGGATACATTTAGAAAAATAGTCAAAGGGAGGAGAGTCAAAAAACAAAACAAAAAAACACATGAGAAACCCTTACTCAAATACAGAGCTGTCATTTTGATCTCCCCAAATTAGGATCTCGGTGATGGAACGGATGGTCTCCACTAGCAGGTTCCGGTTCTGTTCTGTGACTGTGGTGTTTTTGGTCAAAACGTGGTACAGATACCTGACGAAAAGGAAAGAAAATGAAGCATTACCAACTGAAATGGCCAACCAGGCTCGGTGACCGCCGGTGACGTTTCTGAGGACAACTAGCGGCCATAGCTCAGATGTGGTTAGCCCAACTCCCATCCAGAGATGCTACTCACCACCCAAGACACATGGCAGACAGTGTTGTGAAGGGTTAACCAGAAACACGCCAACCCAAGCTGATGCCAGGGAACCATCAAGCCCTTGAAGACGGCCATCCTCAACCTCCGGTGTGCAAGAGAATCACCTGAAGGGTGGATACAGCGGGGGCTGCTGGAGCCCATCTGGAGACTCGGAACCAGCAGGACTCGCGGGCCTTGTCACACTCTCCCCACATGATCCCGATGCTGGTGGAGCGAGTGCAGGCACACGGCCCAGGCCAAGAGTCTGGCATAAACCCCGCAGCCAGCCGGGCTGGTGCAGGGACTGAGAAAGGCGGAGTCACAGGTTAGGGAGGGTAGGTCCCCAAACCAGTTGCAGGGGCAAAAGCCACCCGCAGTCAAGACCATCACATGCCCATCAGAAGTGATAGCTGGACTAAACCCTGCGGCTCGAGGTTCAAGGCACCGACCTCAGGTGCTGAATGCCCATCAAAGTTAAGTGGGTCTGGGAGGGAGGCTCCTGCACTGTGCCCCATGCTCCCCAAAGGCCTGGGCTGCACCAGGCCTGAGCCCGCCGCCGGGGGAGAGGCAGGCCGACCCGGACCCAGCCTCAGGCCGCTACTGGTGACCAGGACAACCGAAAGAATCACCGAGGCTGGTCCTGGGCAGTGTGGGGACTAGCGTCTGGCCAAGTGCCCTGGGCGGGCGGGGGCACAGCTTGTAAGGGATGGCGTTGCTGCAAATGGCAAGAGCTCCTTCTCTTTCACGGGCTGAGTCCGCTGTATATACACCACATCTTCAGCCGTTCGTCAATAAAGGGGCGTTTCTGGGTTTCCTTCCGGTTGGTTATTAGGGGACAGTGCGCGGCTGTCAACACCGGAATTCTGCCCCACTAGTCTTTTGCATCCCACACGGAGCTTGAGAGTGTTACTAAGTGAAATGGAGAGCCAGAGAAAGACAAATACTGTATGATTTCACTCATCTGTAGAATTTAAGAAACAAACAAACAAAATCATGGGAGGTGCAAAAAAGGGGCATCCAAGAAACAGACACTAACTATAGAGAACTGACAGTTACCAGAGGAGAGGGCGTAGGGGATGGGTGAGACCGGTGATGGGGATTAAGGTGCACTTTCCCAGGTGTTGAACGGCTCAATTCTACACCTGAAATGACTCTATGCTTGTCAACTGGAATTTATATAAAACTTGAAGAGTCGTTAAGACGGCGGCATCTGCGTACTCTTGCCTGTAAAGCGTTCCGTTCAGACTGACTTGCTCAGGTCATGAGCTCGCAGTTCCTGAGTTTTCAACCTGCGTCGGCTCTCTCTGCTGTCAGCAGAGAGTTCACTTCAGATCCTGTCTCCCCTCTCTCTGCACTCCCCCCACTCGAGCATGATCTCTCTCGCAAAAAAAAAAAAAAGTTAAAAAAAAGATGGTGACTCTCGAGGACGTTCAATCTCTCTCTCTCTCTCTCAAAAAAAAAAAAAACGTTAAAAAAAAAAGATGGCGCCTCCAGGCTAACTTCAGCTGTCACGGTTGGGAAGGAAAAGGGAACACTAAGAGGAAGTGACTCAAGAATTCTCCGACTCCTCTTGCGGCCACCTTCAGTTTGAGGTAATAGCCAGGAGAGCAAGGCAGGGAAAGAATAGACAGGATCCTGCCATCGAAGATCTCTAAAATGGTAGGGGTATAGGGGTCATGGCTCAGTCGGTTGACTGCTGATTGATGTCAGGTCACGATCTCGCAGTTTGTGAGTTCGAGCCCGGTGTCGGGCTCTGTGCTGACAGCACAGATCCTGGAGCCTGCTTCAGATTCTGTGTCTCCTCCTCTCTCTGGCCTTCCCATGCTCATGCTCTGTCTCCCTCTGCCTCTCAATAATAAATAAATGTTTAAAAAATTTTTTAAAGAAATGGGTAGGGTATCTTAAAGAGGTAGAACCTTGCAGATGGAACAGTCAGGATGAATCTGCTTCAGGGGACTGGGTTTTATTTATTAATATTGTTGCTGTTTGTTCTATTTTAAAGACCGTATAATCAGTTACTTAATCATTTCATTAAAGATTGCATGCAACTTTTAACACAACAACTAGAACAGCTCTCCAAAAATAGAGATCTCCACCACCTGTGCCCAAATCTCCAGGCGAGGCTGCAATATGGGCCTGGAGGCCAGCTTCCCCCTGTGCCAAGGGACCCCCATACGCTGAAGCTGATGGGGGGGGGACCCACTCTTGAATCTATGCCTCCGTTTCCTTCCAGCGCATTTTCGCCAAGAAGCTCAAAGAGCAGAGTTTTTCAAATTGTGCTTCACGGGACCCCGGCATCAGAAACCCCTGTTTCAGCTGCAGATTCTAGCTCCCCACCCCAGACCCACCGAATCTGATTCTGGGGTGCAGACCCCCAAGTCTGCATTCTGAATAAGCTCCCACGAAAGTTTCAGAGTAGTTGTGTCACCCACACCACAGCCATCAGTGTCATTCTGGGTACAACCCACAGTGTGCCCCCTACCATGCCAGGGCAGGTGCTGTTGCCGGGGGGGGGGGGGGGGGGGGGGTGTGCAGATCCTCCCCCCTCTGGTGTTTCCTTCTGCCGAGGGGATGGAATCCATTAGCCTCCCACTAATACACTCCTGGCCTCGTAGGAAGCAGCGGCCTGGGGGCCCGGGGAAGCGGCTCTGCTCTGAAAAACCACCGTAGGGAGAGAAGAGTTTAAAATCTTATGGTCAGCCCTGGCTTCTAACTCCTGACATCTCTTGGTGAAGTCTTCTGTGTTGAGAAGCAGGAGCTGGTGTGCTGAATTAAGAATATGCAGCCGGGGGCACCTGGGTGGCTCAGTGGTTAAGCGTCAGCCTTCAGCTCAGGCCATGATCTCACAGCTCATGGGTTCAAGCCCCATGTTAGGCTCTGTGCTGACAGCTCAGAGTCAGAGGATTCTGTCTCTACCTCTCTCTGCCCCTCCCCCACTCACACTGTGTGTGTGTGTGTGTGTGTGTGTGTGTGTGTGTGTGTGTGTGTCTCTCTCTCTCTCTCTCAAAAACAAGTAAACATTAGAAAAAAATAAAAATATGCAGTTGGATGAAGAGGCAGCGGCCACCCACATGGGGGCGGCAGGTAGCCCCCTTAGTACGGGAGCCCCCACCTTGGGGAAGTGAAACCCGCGGGGGGGGGGGGGGAGGGAGGATCATTTTGTTTGAAGATGTAGTTTCAACACCCACACAAAGGAAGGAGAGTCACGAGATTTATTACGTATGGATCCCAGAAGCTGGGGGCAGGGGTCATGCCATGAGCCAGAGGACCCGCTTCTCCATCCCAGGTGAGGGAGGCAGGAGGTAGAGACAGGGTAGCACCTATTACTGTGAGGCTCCTTGCCCCTCACACATTTTGTCTTAGGGTACATCTGGAACTGATTTTTTGTGGATGGTGTAAGATATTGGCCAAAATTCACTTTTTCCATATGGATATCTAGTTGAGTCAGCATCCTTTGCTAAAAAGGTCCTGCTTTCTCCCATGCACTCTAATGTCCCCTCTGTCGTTTATCAGATGACCGCACCTGCAGGGACTCTTTCTGAATGCTCTAGTTCCACTGATCTATTCACTACCTTTGTGCTGATACCATGATGTCCGATGACTGCGGCTTTGTGATAAATCTTCCTAGGTGATAATGGAAGTGCTCCCGACTTTTTTCCCTTCTTTTTTCCCCCCCAATATTACACTGGCTATTTTTGGCCCTTTGCATTTCCATATAAATTTGAAAATCACCTACTCAACTTTCACAAAAACACTTGCTAAGATTTCCTTTAAGATTGCCCTAAATCTATAGCTAAATATAGAGGGAACTGACATCTTTACAATAAAGTAACATCATGACATTTACATTTCTTTCAGCGTTTGCTGCAGAGAGATCTTGCCTATCTTTTGTTAAGATTTATCTGTAGGTAACTGATTTTTTTTGATGGTGTTGTAAATGGCAGTGTCTGAAACATTCATTTTCTCGATGTTGGCTGTCGGTTGTTGCAAATACCCACGACATCTCAATCGCTAAATTTCTGTGATGATTGTACCTGCACCTTGCCCATCTTTTCACTCCCACTATGGCTGTGCCATAGTTTATGTGCCTCAAGTTTAATAACTTTCTGATTTTGAGTTTAACACTCATTTGAGAAAGGCTGAACACTTCAACAACAATAACAAAGGGGATGTCAATCCTGCCACTGCCCAGACATGAGCGCTGCTGGAGTGTAATGTATTGGGTCTCTTCCTTTGCCATGGATATTTACATGGCGGAGCTCATGCATATATCATTTCCATGCCCATCTTTCCCCCTTCCCCATACTTAGGGTAATAAAAGCATTTTTGTTACAACATCGGCAAGCATCTATAATGGCTACATTGTATACCATTTAGAAAACAAGCACAGGAGTTACTCTTCTGCTGGACATTTGGATTCCTCATTGTTCAGATGATCAACAATGTTACCATGGCCGTCTTTGGGGGCAAGGCTGTGACCCTGAGTTTCCAAGGGCACAAGGACAGATTTTTCTCTTACAGTGATCACTGGTACAAGGAAAACATTTTCTCTCAAACTCTGCGTGTGCACATTCTTATCATCACCATCACAAAACAGTTGCAGCCTACTTTGCTCGGCCCTCCTGACTGCTTCAGATGTAACCACTAATTAAACCCTTACAATAATCCTGCAGGACTCATGCTCTGGGAGGCCAGGGCCTGCACAGAGTCCTGATAGAGGGGACCCAGACGGCCTGACTCCAGATCCCCTGCTTAGAACCATTAGAGTATAGAAAATGCAGACAATGCAGGAAACGCTATTATTAACCAAGCATTTACATGAAGTTATGAATGCCCTACATGCAAGAAAACCTAG